CCCCCCCCCCCCTCCCCGACAAAAACAGAACACACAGAAACAACGAAACCACGAATCAGCCCGAGTAGCTTGGAAAGCTCTCGAAGTACTGGATCATGTTCCTGGCAGGATTCTGCGTTTTCTACGGCATTCCACGGGTACCCCTCTCTCTCTCTCTCTCTNNCTCTCTCTCTCTTTCTCTCTCTATTTGCTTTATCGCCCTTGATCCTCCCCCGAGTTAGGCAGGATTGAAGCGAGATCTGGGGATTTGGGGAAAAGAAAGGACGGACTTGTCAAAGCTCGACGAGCAGCCAATCGCCCGCCTGAATGTGTGCGGCCACCTAAACGCCAAACATGCCTAAACCCTTCCATCAAAACATTTGAAGGTTCTGAATCGCTGACCTGAGGCCCTGAGGCAAGGAAGCTGTGGATAGAAATCCATCACAAGTCAAGCGGCAGCCACGTGAGGAAGCAGCTGAACCCAACCTTTGTGACAAAATCGGGAGCTCTGGGTTCCAGGGTTCAAGGCCTAGTGGGTTAGGGTTTGAAGCTTTTTAGAAACGCCTTTTTTGCGTCTTGCATGGAATCCGGAACATCTGTTTCAGAAGAGACGATTCGACCCACTCGCAGGCAAACAGGTTAAACTCATTCGCCATCCATCCCGTTCAATCTTCACCAGGGTTTACGGTTCAGGGTTTAGGATTTGGGGGTTTCCGAAAATAGGGGACCCTAATATAGTACCCTAAACAGTAGGATCCCTATTATAAGATCCTTAAATAAGGTACCCCCCCCAATTTTCGGAAACTTCCATTTGAGTTCAGGATCCCCTGTAGGCACAGAATGTCAGCTTCTAGCGAGCCGTTTCCAGATTCGGGTCCGTGCCGACAGAACCGTTCTACAAACGTGCTGACGCTTTGAATGCCAGCAGAAAAACCCGAAGCCCTCAAGCCAGATCAAGAACACTTCGGTTTAGGGTTTAGGGTTTAGGGTTTAATTTAGGGCTTAGGGTTTAGGGTTCGAAACTCTAAGTTTAGGGGGGATGCGTTAGGTGCACTCCCTGGTGCATCCTACAAAGCCATTGGGCAACCCACACCAATCTCTATGAAGCCTTTATTTAAACCCTAAACCCGAAACTCCAAAGCCCCAAAACCTACACACGAAACTCCAAAGCCCCAAACCCTAAACCCGAAACCCCAAAGCCAAACCCATAGAAACTAGTGTTGATGATATAAATCTTGCAACACCTTAAAGACCCTAGATATAAATCTTGCATTACCTTAAGTATGGGAATTATGGCATATTCCTTATTATGGGTAATGCAGGATCTAATCCCTAAGCCCTAAAACCTGAACCCTAAACCCTAAAACCTAAACTCTAAAATCTAAAACCCTAAACTCTAAACCCTAAAACCTAAATCCTACACACTAAATCCTAAACCCTAAATAAGCCTAAACCCCTAGAACATCGGAGAGGCCAGGGAACCCACATGAAGCGCTGGCCAATCTCCGGCCTTGCCCGCATGCACTCAATGGCACCAACCTCTGGTGGCGGAACTCTACGGGTAAAGGCTTACTTATAGGGTTTAGGGTTTTTTTGGCTTAGGGTTAAGGGGTTTAAGTTTAAGGGTAAGGGCTTACTTATAGGGTTTAGCGTTTAGGGTTTAGGGCTTAGGGGTTTAGGGGTTAGGGCTTACTTATAGGGTTTAGGGCTTTTTGGCTTAGGGTTTAGGGGTTTAGGGGTTAGGGTTTACTTACAGGGCTTAGGGTTTAGGGGTGTAGGCTTTCTGGTTTAGCTTAGGGGTTGGGATTTTGAGTTCAGGGTTTAAAGTTCAAGGGTTTACTGTAAGAGTCGACCTTCTGCTTCGTGCTCGGGAGGCTGTCGGATAGCCCCAATACACTCCCCTACCTACCTGCGGATGCGATAGCCTGCTGCATCAGGGGTTATGGTGGTTTTAGGGTTTAGGGTCTAGAGCCCTTTTATAGGGTTTGGAGTTATAACAACGGATCATAAGTTATAAGTATGAACCACACCCGCTTTGTTGTTGAATCCACAACCTCCACCAGACTGGGATGTGAGGCCTCAGGGCTTCTTGCAGTTTGTAAACATTGAAGCAGGGCTCAAAGCGACAAGAACCTAAACCCAAGACCCTAATTCCCAAACCCTCAACCCTCAACCCTAAACCCTCAACCCTAAACCCTCAACCCTAAACCCTCAATCCTAAACCCTCAACCCTGAACCCTCAACCAGGGATGTAGACCATCGGGGTCTCTCATCGGGTTCTAGCCAGATGGGTAGCTTCTCCGAGCAGAGGGGCTGTTTAGAAGGACCCTAAAAGGGACCCCTCATTTAGAGAGGTACTTTTATAGAAACCCTTATAATACCCTGAAAAGCATGATCCTAACCGGGGACCCGAATTTAGCAAACTAGCCATATGCCTCGAGCTTGGAGTATAGAGTAGCAGCATTGGGCTGGCAACCTTCCGTTCAGGCGTAGGGCTTAGCTTGCGGCGTAGAGTTCAGGTATAGGAGCCGAAAGGTATACGGCGTTCTCCCAAAGCCTCAACCCTTAACCATGCCCTATAAGCTCTATCTTCTATGAGTGTTGAAGCTCAAGTCTGCAACATAAGCTCTAAACTCAAAGCCCTAAGTCCTATAAGCCTGCATCGGACACCTCAAATCCCTAAATCCCA